GCCATGAATGGTGCCGCCCCCGGCCCCAGCGCCGCTGACCCTGTCCTCCGCGGGCGGGGACACGGGCGGAGGAGGTGCCGCCGCCGAGCCCCCGGACGCGACCATGTCGGAGGTGCTGCCCTACGGCGACGAGAAGCTGAGCCCCTACGGCGACGGCGGCGACGTGGGCCAGATCTTCTCCTGCCGCCTGCAGGACTCCAACAACTTCTTTGGCGCGGGGCAGAACAAGCGGCCGCCCAAGCTGGGCCAGATCGGCCGGAGCAAGCGAGGTGAGTACTAAACCCCCTTCTCCAACATCCCCTTCCCCCTCCACGCCGCGGCCTGCGGGGGTCTCTCAGCCGCTGGACCTTGCTGTGCCCCGATGGAAACCTCTCCTACAGAGTAGGGCATCCCGCACTGCGGGTCGGGCCGGGGCTGGCTGCAGAAACGGGTCCTTAGCCGAATCCCCGCTAGGGTCACCCCGGGGGCGTGGCGGCTCCAAGCTGCCGCAGAGGTCGGGGATGGTACCGAGGACCCCACCAGCGCCAAAGTTTGCTTTTTGACCCCCCCCCAATTTTGCGCAGTGGAGTCGCAGCTCTGTGTTCAGGTCCTGGGGGGAGGGGGCCTAAGGACTCCCCAAGTGACGGCCTGAGGAACTGCGCGGGGAGGATCCCACTCCTGTCGGGAAGGCGAGGGGCACTCGGGTGGCACCGGCTTTTCATTGTTACTTGGCCCGGGTGGTGGTGTGCGTTTACAAGCTTGGGCGCTCCGCTCGGGAGCTGGAGAAACCCCGGAGAGACAGAGGCTGGGAGGCTCCTAGAGGAGCCCCCGAGGTTCGGGGACAGCGAGGGAACACGACGGCTGCCGAGAGAGCCCGGGTTGTGGAGGTAGAGGCGAGGGGGTTGGGGGAAACGGAGGACAAAGCTCCGAAAGGGAGCTGCAGAGAGAGAGCGAGGGAGAGCAGGGCCGCAAGTCAGGGGAGCGCAGAGAGGCAGCCGAACAATGAGAGTGACCGACACCCGACACTCCACATATAAGAGACCCGGAGACCTCGAAGGCGAGCGTCTCGCTGAGAGATGGTAGGAGGGACAGCGGAAGGTGAGGCGAGGTGGAGGCATTGAGAGAAGACGAGGAGACGGTGAGAGGCAGAGCCCCAGGCAGGCTGTAAAGGGAGGCTCTGCCCTCCGCTGCGGCGGGGAGAGCAGAGGGCCGAGGCTGCTGGCCGGTGGCGCAAAAGGGGCACCTGCCCAAGCCCGAACCCTCAGCTGGCCTGCTCGCTCTGCTAACCCGCCCTCGGCGCCCCTTCCTTGGTTCCCTGCACGTCCACACCCAGCTTTGGCCAATAGCGATGCTCTCCCGGCGTCGCCAGGGGTCCTGAAGACCAAAGACCTTGCCCCTCTCCCTGTCCACTCTCTTTACTGCCTCGGAGCCTCCTTTCCAAATAAATGTTCTAAAGAGTGGAGGGCTCGGCCCCGCTGCTGCTGGCCTGCTAGGTTTGCACCCTCTCGTCCTGTTAGGACCCGGCTGGGACCCAGGTTGGGGGCTGGGCAGTTCAAAGACAGTGAAGGGACCCTTGGTCCCTTCGGAGGAGGATGGGGCTGTTTCACACCTTGGGGAGCCCTCTTCCCCAAACCTCCCTGGGAGTAATGCTGAATGTCTGAGACCCCTCAGTAGGCCCAATCACGCTCACCTCTCTTTTCCCCCCCTTTTTTGCAGTTGTTATTGAAGATGATAGGATTGATGACGTGCTGAAAAATATGACCGACAAGGCACCTCCTGGTGTCTAACTCCCCCAAAGACAATGAGTTAAAGAATGAGAACAGCTGCGGTAACAGTTATTGGCAAAAAGCATGAAAAAGAGAAAGCACTTTGAAATTTATTACTAGCTTGCTACCCACGATGAAATCAACAACCTGTATCTCGTGTCAGGCCGGGAGACAGATGAGGCAGGAGGTAGAGGAGGAGGAGGAGGAGGTGGAGGAGGAGGAGGAGGAGGAGGAGGAGGAGGAGGTGGTGGTGGTGGAGGAGGAGCAGGCTTTGGGCTCCTCTGCAAAAATAAAAATTAAAAAAAAAACATAAAATTTAAAAATTCTAAAAATCACTATATACACACATATTAAAAAAGAAGTCTCCGTTGCAGCTATTTGTCAAAATTAATATCTATTTCTTTTTATATACGGTGAATATTGCACAATTATAGATCTGGATTTTGAACCACTTAATGAAGCGGCAGCACCGGGTGTTTTGAGGTGTTGGCATTCTTCGCTGATTTGGCTGTACCCAATGTTTACATTATTTAATCTTGCAAAAATGATTCTGTGCACTTGGATGTGAAATGCTGTCCGGTTTTATTTTTTTATGTTACCCTTGGATGTATGAAAAAAATCAGAAAAGGATCTCTGTAGATACTGTTTTATTTTGCTCATCTTTTGAAGTTACTAGGAATGTGTTCAAAACAAGAAGATAACTTTTCTAAGGAATGGCACATAGAAAGGATCCTCATGTTATTTGAAAATGCATTGTAAGGCTTGTGTTTCTTTGTTGCTGCAAGCTATTTGCCCAAGTTAATGCAAATGGACACATTTTATATGTCAGGAAAAAAAACTATGAAAAACAAAGAAAAAATTGCTTGAGCTTTTTCTAACCTCCTTCTGCAGTCTGTTGTGTGAGCCGCCTGTTTTTTTCTCTAATATTGTGTCAGTTTATTCTCTTTAATGGACTGTAAAAAAAAATGTAATCACAAGAGTGCCAAATATCTTGAAATGCCAAAAGGCATTTTGGTTTCTTTCCTTTTCCCTGTGCTCTGAGTCCACGTAAAGGAATGCTTGGAGTGTCTTTTCTGTTATTTATAGGGATTCTCTTAAGGCACACCAGCTGCCTGTTTTGCATGGTATTTGCAAAAATGCCTCTTGCGTGAGGAATCTTTTACCATTTTTCTTTTTTGTTTGTTTGTTTGCAACTTTGGACCTCAAGAGGTTTCCCTTCCTTTCTCAGTTTCTTTTCTTAATTCGATATTCTGTATGTTGCACCTTGAACCAGCACACAGGGCTATTTCTCCAATGTACAATAAAGAACTGTTGCTGTGTCTCTCTCTTCTCTTTGCTTCATGGTGGTTCTGGGGGACTTGCTGCTGATCTGCTGGTTGCCCACCGGAAGGAGCAGACGGGAGGGTGGCTTTAGCCTGTGAGGCAGAAGGCGTGGGGGCGGCGCTGTGGGTGGGCTCCTATGGGAGGCGAGGTGGGCTGGTGGGTCAAGGCCATCTCCAAGGTGAGAATTTATTTTGAATTTGTAAATTGGGGGCTTATCTGGGGCTTCTGCCATTCCTGGTGGGATAGTGAAAAGATAGATGGTGGGCTAGGAGGCTGCCAGTGTCCCTGCCCATGAGATTGAGCCTAGGGGTTTAGCCCTGAGCTACATCCCCAGCCCCCTTTATAATTTTTTTTTGAAAACAAGATCTCCCTAAGTGGCTAAGTTGCCTCAGGTGGGGCTCAAAACTTGTGATCTCTTGCCTCAGCCTCCCAAAGTGCTTTGATTACAGCCACTATGCCTGGCTGAAACTGCCAGTAACAAGGCTGACTTGGATTGAAATACCAACTGCTTGATTTCCTAGCTCTGAACTTAAACACAGGAAGTCCTTGAACTTCTTTAAGCCTCAATTGCCTAATCTATAAAGTGGGGAATAATCCACCTGCAGCTTCAGGGTTGAGAAGAGTCACACAGCACTCAGTGCTTGTCAGGCAACTGTCCGGTAGCAAGGGCCACCTGTCTGCAAAGGCAGGACTGAGGATGAGGTCTGCTCTGCTCCCGAAGCTTTGCCTTCCAGAGCTGGTCCTTCCCTGAGGGTGAGCCCATTCTTCAGAGCCTTTAACCGTCCGCCACTTGCAAAAGCTTGTTAAGATTCTCAGCCCTTTGTGAGACGTGGGGCAGTTGGTGGTGGGTCAGGCCACTGGGGGAGGAGGGCTGGGGAGGAAGAAAGGCTGGGAGAGGTTTTCTTCCTGGTGTGTTACACATCCAGAAGCCCCATTGCTGGGAGTTTTTAATGTGTTTGTTGTAAAACTGTCAGCTGGGAATCACAACACAGCTCACAGTGACAGGAGCCGGAGTGTGACTCAGACAGCAGGTAAGAGTACCCAGGAAGGGGGGAGGAGGAGAGGCTCTAGGGGCCCATGGGGGAGGGGTTGGTGTATTATCCCCGTTCCCAGGCAGTGGAGGCCGTGAAGCTCAGCAGGCCCAGCCTAGAGCTGGTCATCAGAGCTATCATACTTAGGAATGGCAGAGAAGCTGGACCTGGTGATACCAGCAAGATCACTGGGGTGCCAGTCCCAGGTGATGGCCCTCATCTTGAACCTGTCTTCCCTGCTGACCCTGGGGGCTCCCAGTGCTTCCGAGCTAAAGGGCCCTTAAGTACCGTGGAGCCTAGCTATGCCCTTGATCCCCTTATTTTCCCCCTAAAATGCTGAGGAGCGCTGTGTACAGTTAGGACCAGGTGCCCCTTCTGCTTGGACGTGAATCTGCCAAAAGGGGCAGGAACCATGTGAAAAGATTCCTTTGGAAGACAGAATTTCTGCGCACACTTAGAAGTTAATTACCTTGATCTGATCAAAGCACTGTGCAGTTCCTAGGTGCCTTCCCATTTATTTTCTCACATGATCATTCCAGCAACTTTGGAAACCCAGAGCTGTTCACTCTCCAGTAGGTGAAGAAGCTGAGATGCCAGAGAGGCTAAAAGGATAATGCAGCATCTTCATGAATAGCTTTTGCTGTATGCCAGGCTTGCATGAGCTCCATGAAATAGGCACCACTTCCACCCTGGTTGTACTGTACAAAGCAGAACTCAGCGTAAGAAGCTCTGAAAGGTGACTTGGCCAGTATTTGCAGAGGCAAGACTGGAATCCAGAGCCCATACTCCAGGATGGGGATGCAGAATCATCTGACCCCAGACGTAGGCTCACACCCAGCTGCAGTGGTGTCCTTTAGCCCTTAACGTTCCTTCTGCTGGTTTGCTGTGACTGCTTCAGGGGTTAGAATGGGGCAGGGCTTGGATGTGGTCAGCTGTGGCCTGGAGCTGCCCTCTGCTGGGAAAGGGTGAATTGGGAGCTTTGGGCCAAAGCTCCAGGTCCTTTTAATAAGTGATGCATTAAAAAGTTCAGCAGTGAAATTGGGTTTTCTGCCCAGGAAGACAGAGTCTGCCTTTCCTGGGGAATCCATTCAGCGAAAGGGAAAATAAATCTTTTAAACATCCTATATCATCGGGTAAACATTTGTCAAGGAGGCACTTTGGGGACTGGGCAGATATCAAATTATACCAAGTGAAGGATATGTTTGAAGTATCTGGATGGACATCAGTGCATATGGAAAGGGCTATTAAAAGCTCAAGGTGGGGGAGGGTGCCTCTGAATCTCCAAGCAGTGACCGGGAGCCCCAGGGTTGCATCATTCAAAGTTAACTAATTGAATGCTTGTAATAAGCATAAGTCTCCCTGGATTCACTTCCAGTTGCCTGTCCAGGCTGATAGCCTGAAGGAATAGCAAAAAACACCTCTCAGGGGGAAATTGGAAAATTAAGTTTTAAAACAAACAGTTTTAAAACAAAATGACTGTTGTCTGGAGGCCACAGAGAAAGGCATGAGCGTGGGTTGCCTCTGTGGAAGAGCGGGCAGCCCAGGGCCTGCTTCTAGATACTCAGGGGCTCAGGGCCTGGCAGGAGGCTCTGGCTAGAGGGAGGGGATAGACATTAAGAGTGGCTGGCGCACAAATTTGGGACTTGAATGACTTCAGACTTAAATCTCTGACCTATACTTTCTAATTGCAACTTGGCATTTTTCAAGGTCTTTAGGCTTCTTTCATCTATAAAATGAGGATGATGATAATCCTCAGGAAAGATCACACAAGAACCCCTTTCACTTTCGGAGCACACGGCCAGATGGATAGTAAGTAGCAGCCGTAAAGATTAACACCTGTGCAGTGCCCGCTCTGTGCCAGGCAATGCACACAACAAACAGCTCTTGTTGGGTGAGGCTTCTTTGCAGATAGTTTTTGGCAGTTGCACTAAGGGGCAGTGGTCGGGCTTCTTTGCATGCATTGTTAGGGAATGATTTAAGCGACTCAGCCCTTCTGTCCCCCAAAGTACCCCAATAAATATAATACCAAGTAAATCTGTGTGCTTGCTCTCAGAGGGTACTGTCAAGGGAAGTCACCAGTCTTCTTCCAATCAGATTGCTAGAAAACTTCCTTCTCTGGATGGACGATCCTGGCTTTCTGCTTGGAATAGTTCTTTTGACAAGACTGCCACAAGTCTCATTCATTTGATAAATTCTGATTAAGCACCTGCTGTGTACCTGGCCCTGTGTAAGGCTGAGTATAGAATAGTGAGCAAGATAGGAGTTTTTCCAGAGCTTGAGAATGATCATATTTCCTGTGGAGATGAGATTAGGATCTAGGGGTTTGGGCACACAAAAATCAGCAGTTCAGTTCCTTAGTGTGTCAAAAAGAGGGAGCCAGAGACAACTGGGTCTTGGAGACACCCTGAAACCCGAACACATTTAAGAAAAAATAACCTTGTACAGATAAATGGTGAAGATAATAGAGCTGCCATATACCTCAACCCAGTTTTCTTGCTGTTAACATCCGGCAGTGCTTTGGTAATTTTTTTTTTTTTTTACAACTAAGGAGTCAACTTTGGTACATTCCTATGAATGGTCTTTTTCAGATTTTTATTAGTTTTTACTTAATGTCTTTTGTCTGTTCCAGGATTCCATACAAGATACCACACCACACTTACTTGTCATGTCTCCTTGGGCTCCTCGGGCCTGTGTGAATTTCTCAGACTTAGCTTGTTTTTGACAGAGCACTGGAGAGGTATTTTGTAGACTGTCCCTCAATTAGGGTTTGTCTGATGTTTTTCTCATAGTTCAGGTGGGGTTCTGGGTTGTGGGAGAGAGGCCATGAAGGTAATGCACCCTTTTCCCCACATCATATCAAGGGCACATGCCCTAG